TGTGTGTATATGTATATATATGTATATATGTACACACACACTAAGATTGTGGAACTAGGCCCCCAAAACCATAGCAGGGAAGGTCTTTTGGGACCTACTTCCATAATTCATGGTAGTAATATCTGGACTCTCTGGGCAAGGAAGCGCTGAGATGCGCAGGGCTTTGATTTTGGGGCTCTCCATCGCAGAAGCTTTGGATTCACATCGCCGGCTCTCTGCTTGAACTCCCAAGTCCTAAACCCGGAACACGTAACCCCTAGAACTAGTGGGTTTAGGGTATTAGGACCTAAAGCCCTGAACCCTAAACCCGCAACACTTGAGCCCCGAACTTCACACGCTTCAGAGCTCGGGGCCGCCCTTCCCCCTTACTCGGCTCGCCCCCCCCATGCCCCGGTTTAGGGTTTAGGGTTTAGGGTCCACCCTAAACCCTAAACCCTAAACCGAATCCCCCCCATCCCCCCCTTGAAGTATGTGTGCCCCTACCGAACCCTTCTAAAAGCCTTGTTGCAAGATTTCAAACCTTTCTTCAATCCTTCTGGAACCTTTGCCAGCTCAGGTTTACAACCTTCGTGCGGGGTCCAGTGAACCTGGATGCCGGGAACTGAAAACTGATGAAGATACAGTTAAGGCTTAGAGTTGAAGACCCTGTGCGTGGGGCTTTGGGTTTAGAGGCGTGCCGGTGCTTCCTAGCTTTCCAGTCTAGCTGTCTAGTAGCCTAATATAGGGGTCGGAATGAAAACTTCAAGCAGTATCCAGTATATTGTTTCTTTACTTCTTTACCCAAAAGCTTCTACGGCAGCATACTTGACAGCAACTGCGAAAGTATTAAGATGACTACGAAGACAGTAGAATCAGTGGCGACAGCAGCAGTGCAGCAGGATTTTAAGGCCTAGGGTTTGCAGGGTTTAGGGTTTAATTTATGGGGTTGTGCTTTTAGGGTCCAGCTCGAAACCGGAAGGCCCGAGATCCTAGAAACTACACTAAACGTTCACCCCAAAGCAGCTAATGTAGAGGCCTGAATAAGTACCAATACTATTTTGGGGGTTTCCTTATTATAATTATAGTATAAATGGGCCCCAAAGCCTATTCTAATTATTAAGGCCCCTATATTACATCTTCGTTGAGGCCACTGCTTCGCTAATGCGGAGCAACGAGAACTTCGCCCCCAGATACGACCAGCGCATCCTGCAAGCGTGCGCTAGTGGTCACGGTCTAGGGCTTCATACAGCGACCGGAGTGGTCTGTGTGGGCAGTTCTCAAAAATAGGGTCTATTTTTAGGTCCCCAATATAGTACGGCACATCCTTGTGTTCCTTGTAGATATGCGCCAAAGGCTTATTTCTGATTGTCAAGGCCCCTGTATTGTGGGTCAGTACCGTCTATATGGGGCTCGCCCCGATGGGCGCATGCCGATGTGAAATGCCCGCAGCCGCTTGACTTTAAACCCTAAGCCTGAACCGTCATGAGAGGAAAAGTGCTCTCAAAGGTTTTCCCCAGACGGTCTGCTTCTTCCCCTGGCCCATGTTACATACCCTAGATCCGTGTATGCTTTAAACCAACAATACAGTCACCTGCCTATAACCATAATACAATAGAGTGCGGTAAGATGTTAAAAACACCCCAAACGCCACAGCACCGGCGGGGATTCCGCGACACAGCACAAGATCACGTCCTGAGTGAATATTTGAAGGCGAGTACTTCCTTGGCTCTTTCAAAGGAGTCTTGCCTTGTTTTTTCGGGTTTCGAATGGGGGGCTTGATAAATAGAATAGAGTTTCGGGGAACATCATACGATGCCTGTATAGGGAGTACAAGGGAATATGATTACTGGTTCAGTTTTTCAGACCTGTATTCACACGGTCCCAGTAATAAACCCAACGCTCCGAATTTTGCCAGCACAGACCCACAGTCCTGCCGCCTCATCACCCGACCAAGAGCGTCCTGGTCACCGACCAAACCCAAAGGGACCCTCATCCCTGACCCTAGCCCCGAGACTCTTGCGTGGACATGTCGTCCGCAGCCCCATCCCCTCCAACCCCCAAGGGCCCGACACAGCCAACCGCAGCAAGCACCAGCAAGCGATAGCAACAACAACAACAACAACACCAACACCAACACCAACATTAATGTTAAAACCGCCTCATAAAAGTCATCAAAGTTCCTTCCTGAACCATTCAAATCACCATTCAATCCCTTCTGCAACCGTCAAAAGACGTTTCAAGATAAGATGAAAACCAGCCTGAAGCCCTCCCGAAATCTTTCAAGGCACGGCTGACATCGTTTTACGATTCTATTAGAACCCTTCTAAACCCATGAGAAGCACTTTAGAATTCAATTAATCCGTTTCGAAGCCCTTCAAACAAAAGCATCAAAAGCCATGCAACAAACTTATTGTAACGGGCAACAACTGCACAAAACCCTGCGAACCCCAAGACAAGAAAACTTCCCTCATGCAAAAAATGCCGGAAATTCTACCAATGAAGTTGCCTGTTTGGCGCTTGGGGTTTGAGGAATAAACTACAATGTTAAACCGCCCCAAACCCTTCAAACCCATAGCCAAAACCCTAAGTCCCAAACCGGTTACGGTTTTGGTGCCCTCACTTTTCAGGTACTTTGCAGAGTGCGGCTTCCGCGCAATTTTCCAGGAGCGCACTTGCCGACTCTTTAGGGTGCTTCTATAAGGCTTTAAGGCTTCTACAACGGTTCTTTACGGGGTTCTATAAGGGTTCTATCCGGGTGCCGGGGTTCAGGCGTTATAAGATTCCCTCGGGTGGGGCGGTTGGGGTTTAGGACTTTCGGCTTGCTTGGTGGTTTGGTGTGTGCGCGTGTGTGTGTGTGTGTGTGCGTTGGAGTAGTTTGTGGTTATCATTACCATTACCGGGGTAGTTAGAAAGTGCTTCGTACAGTGAATGACATGAATGTTGAGGTTGTTATTCTCACTTTTCTACATAAAAAAGCCTTTTTCAAGAAGTCGCAGCAGTAATGTTATTGGTGCGAGCGGTTGCAAAAACCGTCGTAGCAGTACAAGCAGAGTAGTAGTAGTAGTAGTAGTAGTAGTAGTAGGAGTAGGAGTAGGAGTAGTAGTAGTAGTAGTAGTAGCAGCAGCAGCAGTAGTGGTAGTATTATTATTGGTAGTAATAGGCGCCCTCCCCCCCCCCC